GGGCGCAGGACGTGACCTTCTGGGTCCCGCACCCGGGGTGCTGGTGATTGCCACATCGCGGATTCGCCGCGGGGCAGCTACCCGGGAAAGCCGCAGACTGGGCCACGACCACAAGCACCCGTCAACCGGATGCTGGGTTCCGTGACTCCGGGGCCCTGGGAGGAGCGCGGGCCGGGGACGTGGCCACGGCTCTCCCGCCGGTCCTTGGCGTGAGAAGGCGGGGGCTGGGGCTGGTGGAAGTGGGGAGTCGCCGCTAGCAAAGAGACACTCCAATGACTGTTGACTGTGTATCAAGTTTATTTGTGTTCACAGAACATACCAGGCGACCGCGGCAGTCGCCCCGCGACAGCCCACCCACCCTAACCCCGCAGCCGCCCCCTAGGGGGCAACTTGGAGAAGATCGAAGGCCGCGGACCACACAGTAGACCCCGCGGAGTTGGGATGCTGGAGGACGGAGTGTCACCCCCTAAACCTACGACCCACCACCAGGCTTGACTCGCATTCGGGACGTGCTCCACCCGGATCGTCCCCATTCTTTTTCCTGGGTTCCGGGCGCCCTGCCTCCGCCAACCCCACAAAGCCCAATAAATACCAAGAGATCTGCGTTTACAGCAGGGGGGAACATCTCGCACCCTTGCATAAGTTAAAATAAATATTACGCACACCCCTCCGTCACCTAGGAGGACATACTTAAATACCATAAATATTAATTAGAAGCAATGAGAAATAAATTAACGACGCTCTCCCGCCCACCAGGCCTAGCCCCGGCGTGTCCGTGCCTGGCGTGTCCGTGCCTGGGTCTCGCGGCCTTGTCTCGCTTCGGGCACCGGCGGGCGTTTTCGCTGTAGTGTTGACCGTGAGATGCCTCGGAAGTCCCAGTTTGGGATACACTCTCACTCACCAGGTACGCCTGGTGTTTCTTTGGTTTTTCGGGTTCTTTTGGAGGGTCGTAGGGAGTCACGGTTAGAAGGCGGCCGGGTGTTGCTGGAGGAAGGTGCTGAGGTCCAGAGAGTAGTCCGAGGGCTCCGAGGTCAGATTAAGGGGCTGGGGGGCCGGGGGCGCAGAGGTGGGCGCCGAGGACGCGGCACTGGGGGCGTCCTCCAGGGCGAGGGGCGCCGGCACACCCTCTTCAGCCATCAGGATCTGGCAGAAGACGATGGTGAGCAGGAGAAAGAGGAGCCTTTTGGCAGGGTTCGGTTCCTCGGCTGGAAGCGGGCGCCGGACCTGAGGGGAGACAAAAAAGGAGACAGGTCAGTCAAGGTCCCGGAGTCTGGTCGTCCCCCCGCGGCGCCAGGGCGGCGCGCCCCCGGCTGCCCACTTCGGCAACACTCACCACTCGAGGGTAGAGAACCCTGCGGCTGCGCTTTCGGTGCACGCGAGAGGCGCTGGGGCGCGCGGCGGGGGCGGCTGCGGGCTCCGGGAGAGGGTCGAAGGTGAAGATCTCAGGACCGGAGCCGCGCCGGGGCCCAGAGGGGCTGGAGACCACGGGGGTCGGGGCAGGCAGGACAGTCATGGCGGGGAGGGAGCTGCGAGAGTGACACATCGTGCGCTGAGCTGAGCGTGAGGCCAAGTGGCGGGCGGCGGCGGTCGGGGCGGTTAAATACGCCAGAGACCTGGGCTGGCCTTTCAGACTCCTCCTCCCGCAGTTGGGGAGCGGTTGGCCCCAGCCCGCTGGAAATTCCGACGTTTAAACAAAGGGACGGGGCGGAGACTTGGCCTGTGCAGCCAGAGGTGCCCAACTGCACGTTGTGAGTGTGTGACTCTGCGTGGGGAGCGGGTGAGGTCCCGGGCTGCAAGCACATGTCGGGGCATGTGGCGGCTGGAGGGGGACCCGCGACTGCTTAGGAGGTGCTTCAGCCTCTGGCTCCCTCACATGTCCCATCACTGGGGAGGCAGGAGGGCTCACTTAAAGAAATCGGGCCATCCTGCTGCAATACCGACCCGGCGAGGTCAAGGAAGCACACACGAACGTTCATTCACTTGTAGGTATGCATAGAAAAAAAAGCACACTGCAAGAAGGAAGACATCACAGAAATAGTCAAGAAGACTAAAGGAAATTAACACACCAGCCCGCACAGACAACTCTGCCTGCCTTAACTAACACGTGAAAACACACGCACATAGCACAGCATACACACACAGCAAAGATGTAAAGACTGTTTAGGGATAGTCCGGCAAAGCTTCTCACTTAGGTGTGTGCAGAAATATTCACTTAAAGGCTGGTGCCGAGGATCACAAATCACAGAGGCAGGAGGTTAGCAGCCACCCAGATTTGCCCCTTATATGGATCAAATAATAAAATTTCTGTTAAGAACACTCTAAACTGTGAGGTATTATACAAATGTTAGAATTTACACATTTCTGTAACTGCCTTAGATATACTGTTCATGAACATCTTCTGAGCATTCACCTGTTTCAGGTACCCTGTGAAAGGTGCTGTTGAGTGTCCTGAGGTTAAATTCCGTGTGTGTGTGTGTGTGTGTGTGTGTGTGTGTGTGTGTGTGTATGTACGTGCTGCTGAGTGAAACCAACCAGATAAAGTTGACACTTGGGCCTTGAAGGCCTTACCCTCTGGCATGGGAGAGGACTGTCACCAGGAGAATGCTTGCTCTTTTTTTTTTTTTTCATTTCTGCCTGAAGGAAGGGAGAACTCTCCTGAGGTCCTAAGAAAACCCAAGACCAAGTGTTGAGGGGAGCCCAAAAGAGCTAGTGTTTACATCCATCTAATCAATCAGGGCAGGCTTCATGGAAGAGTGACATTGGAGATGACCTTCAACAGTGGGTGTGATATGACAAATTCAGATGTGGAGGATGACTGTAAGAATGGAATCAGCAAAGGCCTTGAGCTGGAAAAGTACAGGATATGTTTGGGGAATCACAAGAAAAACAATCTCAGAGTAAGTTTCCCGTAAAGGAATAGTGGGAAATAGTAATGGCTGGAAAGAAGTTGGACCGAGTAGAGAGAGAGCTTAGCTGTCAGGCCAGGAACCTGGGTTTGACACTAGACCATGGAACTTGTGAGTTGCGGGTTGAGATGAAAGGAGGAAAATTCAAGCTGAGAACTGATGGAGATGAGGACTATGCTCTGGATGGAGAGAGACAGGCAGGTGACCAGAGGCTATTGGAGGGGTTCAGATAGCAGGTAATATGGGTCTGAAAAGGAGGTCATAAAAGACGTTCCTAGCACAATATAACCAGAATTGGGCAATAAGATGGGTTTCATCAAGGGAAGGGAATTTGGGGGAGAGGGGCTGCTGACAGCAAGAGGATGAAAAGATCAGAGGTGACTCCGGGGATTTGAAATACATCCAGCTCAGATCTTTATACCATCATATTAAGCCTGGTGCACAAAGTGAATACAAATGTGACCCCTTCCATTAGAGGCTGTGTTAATCACATCTTTGTGTCCTCCACAGAACCCCGCGTGATACGTTGTAGACAGTAGTTGCTCAATAATCTTGTTCAATGAAAGATGAAAATGCAGAAAGTAAGTGTGCACGCAGTATTCCCATGCTGACTGGATCACCCAAGCTTTTGAGACATGTATACACTCTTCCAAATCACCTATACAAATGTACGTCTTTAGAACTAAAGTTGGGACAAGGCCGAGCGCAGAGGCTTATGCTTGTAATCCCAGCACTTTGGGAGGCTGAGGTGGGAGGATTGCTTGAGCCCAAGTATTCAAGACTAGTCTGGACAACATAGTGAGATCTTGTCTCTAAAAAAAAGAAATAGAACCCGGCTCGGTGGCTCAACCTGTAATCCCAGCACTTTGAGAGGCTGCGGTGAGTGGATTGCCTGAGCCCGTGGGTTTGAGACCAGTCTGGGCAACTTGGCGAGACCTCGTCTCTACAATAAATCAAAAATTAGCCAGGCATGGTATTGCGTGCCTGTGGTTCCAGCTACTTGGAAGGCTGAAGCGGAAGGATCGCCGGCGCCCAGCAGGTAGACACTGGGGTGGCCATGAGTGTGCCGCTGCACTCCAGCCTGGGTGACGGAGTGAGGCTCCAACTCAAAAAAACCCAAAATATAAAATAAAATAAAAAATTTTTTAAAAAGAAAGAAAAGCTGGGACAATCCTTACAGTTACCAAACAAGAAACTCCTAAGGGCATTTTTCAACCAAGAATGTGTAGAAAGGCAATTAAAGACAGTCCTACAACTGGCTAGAAATAGATACATGCTGCTTTATATACAATTGCTTCCTGGCCTTATAGGTCACTTTATTTGACACCCATTACTGCTGTCTAAACACACAAGACCCCTTCTGTGTTACACACCCCTTCCTGGTGGTCATAAAACACACCTCCTCTACAAACAAAGGCTTGGAGATTCCCCATGCCTGCCTTTCTCACCTGCCCATCATCCTTACATTTACACCTAAGCCCAGGGAGCCTTCACCCTTATTCCAAGGCAACTTGCTCACCTCACAACAAGCAACATAAATCCGTGACTACTTAGACATGTGGACAGACCCTCACACCCAGACATAAATTGAAAGTAGGGGGAGATCGAGATAATGGAAGAAAAACTGCTTGGTGGGAGAGAGGGGGAGGCACTCAAGGTCAGGAATGCATAACTTGTTTATGATGGAAATTTTCTGCAGGGTATTAGGCGGGGGCGGGGAAATGAAGATGTCAGGATCTTGTTTTGCCACTACTTCTCACATCTGGAATCTGGGCCGCCAGCTGGGTCTAGTTATCCTTACAAGTCCTCCTGGCACAGAGAGACCTTTCTTTGCCACAAGAGCAGAATGGGACAAAGAGAAGACCCAGAGAACTCAGATTGCTTGCCATTCCTTCTCAACCAATCCCATCCCCATTTCTGCTACCCTCAGAGCCTCAGGGCTCTGCCCTGCCCCTTCCTGCCATACAGGAAGCTAGGGAAAGGTTGAGAGTGAATTATTAAGCCAATAAGGGAGTGTGGGGGTGCAGACTGGGGAATGAGTGAAGGCCAGAAAGTGCCTGGGGATGAGGCCAGAAGCTGGACCAGCTCCCACTGCCCTAATCCTGGAGTAACAGGCCCTTAGCTTCTTCCATGTCCAGCTCTCCCCCTCGTTCCCTTCTCATCTTTCCCAAGATCGCTGTGTTCCTTTACTTCCCTTGTGTGACCTCTAACTGACCACTGCCACTAACCTCTTTATCAGCCCCTTGTTTGTTTTCTTCATAGCATGTATCATATTGGGGAATTATTTTCTGTATTTGTTTACTTTTTGCTGTTGTTTTTTCCTCTGCTGGAATATAATCTCTGTGAGTGCACAGGACTACATCTGCTCTTTTCCTCACTAGATCTCTATGCTATCTCCAGTATCTGGCTGTCACCTAGTAGGGTCTTGATAGATATTAAATATTCTTATTCATCTCCCCTGAGGGGCTAAACCTCATCCCTAGAGATCTCTGTTTATCCAGCTGTGTTCCTTCAGAGACCCCTGTGCCTCCTCTTCAAAGAGGAGGTTGGGGGATGCTCCGCAGTGGCTCAGGTGATTTGCCCTTGACTCAAAAACAACTGTGCAGTGATGACAGCGCAGCCCTGGCCTATGCCCTTTATGATCCCTGACACAGGGGGTACTGCTGCATTGCCTACTACAGACCCACAGTGGGGAATGATGGAGATGGGCACTCATGGAGGCAGAACAGACAGAGGAAAGGGAGACAGAGAGTTGGAAATGAGAGCTTCTGAGAAAGGGAAGCAGAGTGGGGAGGAACGGAGCCGGGCCCTGGGGTCAGGGAAAGACAACTGAAAGCTCTTAGCTGCACCTGGTTTTCAGTAGATGCTCAATAACTGTTTGTTGACTTGAGGTGAGTCTGAGATAGAAAGAAAACATTGGGTATGAGGGTGATCTGGCTGCAATGTTTGTCACCCCATTGATAGCCAGGCCTGATTCAGTTGTTCTGGTTGGCTAGCGGGGATCCCCTTCCTCTCTCCCCATTCCATGTGCATCACTCCTGAAGCTGCACGCTTGGTTGAAGAGAATGACCATTCCCACTAGAGGAGAACCATTCTTCAGTCCAGGGAATAGAATAGTTGCTCCCCTGCTAGAACGTCCAAACAAACTCTCAAACATGGAATAGTAAAAAGAGCTTTGGTAGAGGAAATTTGGTTTAAATACCAGCTCTGCTACTTATTAACTAGGCAATATTGGGTCACTTACTTAATGTCACTGAAAATCTGTTTCCTCAGTTGACAAATGAGCAAATTGGCCTTTAGGTTATTGCAAGGATTAAGAATATAAATGTACTGCTCCTTGGCACCTAGTCGGTTCTTCTTACATGGGGGTCATTATTACAATTAAGGGAAGAGGGGCTGCTTTGGAGTAGGGATGGGCGGCAGTGACCCAACCCACAAGTAGAAGACCAGATTGAGAAAATAGTCTCCAAGTGCTAAGATCACCAGGAGATACCATTCTCTTTCTTTTTTCATCCCCCCTTCCCTCCCTTTCCATCTCAGGCAGGTTTGTGGCTCTTTCTCTTTCCCAAAGAAGCAGAGACTTCTGCATTCCTAGTTCTTGTTCAGCCAATGTGAGTGATTTTATTATTTATTTAACTCACCACTATAATAATGAGGAATA